CAGCCTCTGAGCAGCCTCGGCCCGCGGCTCTTTGTCTCGCCCTCACCCTCTTCATTCTCCCACTTTTCCCCCCTGGAAACCTTTTTGTGGTTTCTGCTCCAACCTCCTCTCTCCCGGTTCCAGCCTTTAGGGACATCCGTTTCCATTTCTCTCTCCATCCCTCAAGTACTTTCGGATTCTTCCCTCTCCACAATTGCATTCTCCTCCTCCTCCTGTCTCCAGTTGGACTCGGGGCATCCTTTCCCTTACTCACCTTCATCCAGCCAACCACTGAGGGCATCTGTCTAGTACCAGACTTTGTCCTGGACCCTGGCAATATCACAGTTAATAACCCCGAAGCCAGACTTTAAGGAATGAAAGCAGGTTGGAGTGGAGAGTGGATGTAAACAGACCTTTACAATGCCTCCATGCCCTCTCTCAACAAAGGGGGAGAAAAAACAGAGAGAAGAAAGACCCGGGCCTGCTTGTGCAGAAGACGAAAGCTCTTTCTTATTCTTTCTTTCCTTCTTCCTCATCCCACATATTTCATACTTCTCTCCAGCCCCCTAGGTTTCTATGCTTTAATCTTAAAAAAAACTGAAGCGAACCGTACAACTGCGAAGAAAAATAATCATAAAGGAAGAGCACATGCGTCAGCATAATAATCAGATACAAAGTAATAACGCCTGTTGTCAAGTTCCAGAAAAAAATAAATAAATAAAATACTGATAGTGAGCTTAGAGTAGTACTCAAATCCCTCTGAAATCCATCTGCTTGGATAAGTGCATTAATTATTCCCTTGTCTGCCGGTTGACACTGTGGGAGCTGCCTCCTTATTATTATTGGGCAGCATTTAGAATAATAATTCACTATCTACCACCTGCTAACCCCCCAACTGCTTTAGGGAACAAGTGGGATAATGAGGGGGAACAGTAAATGGATGGCTTGCTATTCTGTGTGATGCGATGCTTTTATTTGGTGAAAAAATTAGGAGCTAAGTCCTTTTCAAAGTCTAGGTCATCCAGCCAATTAGATGCTCGGAGTGGCTTAAATCAAGGTGTTCTCGGGAGTATTTTAGACATGTATTCCAAAATCTCTGATTATTAATTTAATTAACATGGACTCAAACACCAACTAAGCCCTGTGACCCTGGGGGAATTAGCTATCCTTTTTGAGTCCCAGCTTATTCATATACAAAATGGGGGTGTGAGTACCTACCTATATATGGGAATTAAAAGTTAAATGAAGAACTGAAAAGTTGGTTCGGTGGTTCTGAGCACCTACTGCTCTTCCAAAGGACCCAAGTTGGAGTCCCAGGACCCACACCAAGTGACTTGAAACTACCTGTAACTCCAGCTGCAGGGGCATCCAACTCCTCTGGCCTCTGTGGGCACCTGAACTCATGTGTACACACACACACACACACACACACACACACACACACACACACACCCCTCATCTGTCACTGACAGCCATGCAATCTAGACATTAAGCTTTTCTGAAAGTTAGCAGTCAGGAAAGATCTGGAACTATTTGTCACAGAGTGCTGCCTTGGAGCGAATGAGAATTCAGAACAAATGGTTACAGCTTTTTGGATCTTATGCAAAAGGCACCTTCCACTGAGCAAACTTCCCTCAGATTTATTCTTTCATTTTGAATTCTTCAATGGAAAACATTTTTTAGCCTGCTGCTTATTACCTGATATATTATTTATCAGAAAGGTTTTTTTTTTTTTACCCATAACTCACAGGCTCAGAACTTACTGTACATTTGGGGATAGAAATTGCTGCCAACAAACACATTTTTTGATTGCTATCATAAGATTGTTTTGTGTTTTCCCCCTTCTGGAGCTAATATTGAGCTCTGAGCAGTTTCCAGTCAGAAGAAGAAAAATCAGAAATTATGATTGAAATAATTATTTCTCTCTGTATCACTCACTATGTAGGTGACAGCCATGTGTAAAAATTGCACTAATTTCATGCAAGAATATATTTTTTTTCTTGCAAAAAGAGAAATATGCACACACACACACACACACACACACAAATACAAAAACAAAACCTTCCTTAGTTGGTTTTATGAGCCATTCTTTTTTAGGGCCCTCAGAAGACTTCCAAGCTGAGAGGCCTCATCCAAATGAATCCCAAATGCTTCCTGAAGAACTCTCATCTAATGAGGCATTTTTAAGTAAACTATCCTTTCATCCCATCTGTCTACAAAAAGCTAGTAAAAGTAAGACGATGCCTTAGACTATCTGCACCACATGGACTATTATTGTACCACTCTTCAGACTCTGCCTTCCTACCCTCACAGCTAGGCCGAAATGTCTCCTCTTCCAAGAAGCCTTCCCTGGGCAATGTGAAAGACTTTCAAACTCTCTCTGTTACTTTTCCTGTATAGAATGTGTCTTGGTGTCCTGCAAGCACTTAAGAGGCAGAGACTGGTAGATCTCTGTGAGCTCCAGGCCAGCATGTTCTACAGAGCGAGTTCTAGGGCTACAGAGTAAGACCATGTCTAGAAAAAGGAAAAGAAAAAAAATGCATCTCTACTTACCTGTATTTTTCTTTTTTAAAATTTCTTTATTATTTATTTTGAGCTTGTGTGCACGTGTGTAGTAGTGCTGTGGCCAGTTGCGAAGGTCATAGGACAGGAAACACCTCTTTCCTTCCACCATGTGTGTCTGGGGGTCAAACTCCAGTGGCCAGATTTGTCAGAGACACCTCTACCGCCGAATCTCACCAGCTCTTTACTCAGTTCTTTTCAGTATCCACTAGTAAATAGAAACATGCCACAAGAACAGGTACCTTACGGAGTGAGACAGAGAGGTTTCTATTCATCAATATAAGACCAGGGCTCAGCCTGATAAAACATTTAAAGCAGCTGATAGCTGTAGTGAGAGCTCTGTGGTTAAAGTGCTGGCCCCAAGGCAAGCATAATGGTGAGCGCCTTTAATCACAGTACTCGGGAGGCAGAGGCAGGTGGATCTCCGGGTGTTTGAAGCCTGCCTGGTCTACATAGTAAGTTATAAGACAGCAGGAGCTATACAGTGAAATCCTATCTCAAACAAATAAACTAAAATTAAATTCCCCCGTGCCCCACCGCCAAAAAAGCTCTAGCCTCTCAAGCAAGCAGGAGGACCAAAGCTTGGATCTCAGAACTGATGTCAGGTAAGTGAGGTGAAGTTGGCCTGTAATTGCAGTCTCAAAAATCAAGGATGGGAATTCTGAAAGAAGCTGGCTAACCATTAGGTTGGTGAGCTCTGGGTTTGATTGAGAAACCTGTCTCAATGAATAAGTGGAAAATGATTCCCCAAATCAACATGGCCTCTACATGCATACACACACACACACACACACACACACACACACACACACACACACACTACACGTGCACCCACACATTTGTGACTGCCCCCGCCCCCCCGTGGAAATGTATCTCATACACACATACACCTTTTAAAAACAAACTTATAGCAAAGGTAAATAAAGGATGTTTTCAGGGACCTCTGATTCTGAAACTCCAGCAGAGATATAAAGCCCCTGAAGTATCTCAGATACCACAAACACAAATGATAAACTAAGTTTGTTACGCTAGAGACTTCATTACAATTAAAAGTTGAATGCCCCCAAAGGACACCATCAGAAATGGAAAAGACAATTCCTGGAATGGGTCAAAATCTGTGCAAATCACAATCTGACAAAGACCTAGTATCCAGGTATATCCGAGGAATTCCTGTCTCTCAATACAAAGATAGCTCATTCTGCAAACGCTCAGAGGTTCTTCTCCAAAGAAGGTAAATATACAGCCAGTGAGACCACAAAGCTCATTGGCATTATTAGTCATTAGGAAAAAAAAAAAAACAAATCAAAACAACAATGGCATTCTGTTTTACACCCACTGGGATGGCTATGATCAGAAAGACAATAACAAGTTTCGCAAGCTGTGACGGAACCGAAGCCCTTGTACTTCACAGGTACTTCAGAAAACAGTTTGGCAGCTCTTCAAAAATGTCACATATAAGGTTATCACACGGCCCTGGGATTCCACATCTAGGTGTCTACCCAGGAAAGATGGATGTAAAAGCATGTACATGAATCTTCTTAGC